GAGAATTTTCGAATGGGTGTCAAGGACTCAACATACTGCTCTCTGGTCTGGCGCAAGGCAGCCCTCTTCCTCCTCTTCTCCTTGGGCGCCGTCGCAGGCAGCTCGTCATCAGCGGCGAGTATATCGTGGATCATGACCTGCAAAGCCATGTCCCACGTCTCATCGATGTCACGAGAGATTTCCTGTCTGGTCTTGATGGCATCGGCGGTTGCGGCGGTGGACATCTTGAATTTGGCCCTGATGGCGTCCTCCTTCACTTCTTTCTTGGCCTTGATGTAGAGCATTGAGTCTGCACGGTTGTAGACTCGCTCCCAATAGCTCTTGTTGACCTGAGGCGGGACGGGGTTGGCCTTTCCGTCCCAGCGCGTGATGCTGCTGTCATCCTTGGGCTCGTTCAGCTTGTCGGAGAGGCCAGTGAACTAAAAATACAGCAGCGTGTAAGTAAAATACTGAAAAATATTTCAAATCTGGCGTCTCAACTTACAGCAGGACCTGAGACGTTTGCAGGGATGCCACAGGGGGCGGGAGTTGCCGCTTTGTTGTTCGCCATCTTTGTGGCTGTTGCGATGCTGGCTGGAGGAGAATTTCGACTTCGGGGTCACATTGCAGGACAAGAAATCAGATTCGGAGGGGTCGATTTGCGCGGAACTAGGGCAAACAACAGCGGAGACGCCGACAGCCACGTCCGGAGGGGCGCCGGGATGAACAGGCCCCCATATCCTTGAAGCGATTCCAGGTACAACGACCGAGCCTGACAAACGGTTCACCAAATCAAAGACTGGCTGTCCAAGAAAGCCCTCTTACTGCCGTCCGCTTTGACTACTTTCTCTGCATGTTATCTACCTAGCCTCTAGATTCACAAGAGGTGCACTCCGGGCGGGAGCTAGAGCATCATTCTCCATCTTTGCAGGTGTTTTGACGCCAATCTTGTTGCATTGTCTTCACCGTGCACAGCCCTCCATCAAATCCGACCAGCCCTCAAATCCTCAACCATCTTCTCCGTCTCCTCCAACTGCTCATCCTTATAAACCGCATATTTCCCGTTGCCCGATTCCTCAACAAGCCTCTTAACTTCCTCAAACAGGGCCTCTGCCTTGGCCAGCTTCTCACCCCCCTGTTTCCACATCGACCTCGCAATAATCCTCCTCGAACCCAGCGCCTGCGGCGACGTGTCACCAAGACGGCCCACGAGCCATTCCAAAACCGGTCTCTCCGTCTCCTCTGCCTCAACATACCGGCCTTTCTCAAACAACAGCACAGAAAGAGAATGGAAGTGAGACAAATTGTTCTTGTTCTTCCTCCGCTCAATCATCATCCGGATAGTCTGCTCCGCCTCGGGGAGATCTAGTTCATACTGAATAGTCTGAACCCCCAGCATCGCGGTATCCCACGACTTATAATCGACATCGTAGAAAGTCTGCGGCGATGCCTTGGTGTCCTTAGCGGCTATCTTTTCGTGGAGGAGACGGAGGAGCAGTTCCAGCTTCTCGGATTTGCTATGGGTGCTGTTTGGATCGATGGGCAGCTGGGAGATTTCCTCGGGCGAGAAGCTGGAGAGAAAGTTGCGGCCAATCACAAATTTCAGGTCGTTCCAGAAGGCGTTGTCGGGGACGGGGTACTCCCAGGTGAAGTTTTTGACGTTTTCTGGAATGTTGGATGTGCCGGTGGAGTAGCGGGCGCTTTCAGGGGGGTTGGATGAGGCCATGGTGAAAGGATGAGCGGTGGTAAAGGTAAAGGTTTTGCTCCCAGACCAATGGACTTTCGACTGCTGCATTTAAGTGAGGTGAAGCCTGAGCGGGAGACGAGAAGTGCGTCGACCGGCTGCACTGCAGGCAAAACGGCTACCTAGGGAATCCAAGCTGTTATTGAACTGTGCCGCAAAGCAGCTGCTGCCTACCTACCGGGTAAAATACCAACAGGGAAGGTGAATGCACTTAGGCAGGCGCTTTCCCGCTGCCTAGATACCTAGGTACCTTCTACCTTGCGTATCTCGAACGGTTTCAGCGCGGGAACACCACAGATCCCAGACAAAAAGCGGTTACACAGTTACAGTCTGAACAACGAGTGAGGAGTATGCACACCATCATTACCTAACTCCCATTCACTCTGCATAAACTTCCGTCAATAGGTACCAACAAAAGACGCTAAGAGCAGCTCAACGCAAACCCCCTTGTACGCCAGATCTTTCCCTCGGTGTAAAACGAATATTAAACTCCGAAGTAATCCACACCAACACGTCCGTCACCTTGGCCGGCTGTGTAGGATCATTCACTGCGATATCATACCGCCTCAGCAGCTGCAACTTTTGTCAGTAAAACCACCCCCCTTTACCATCCCCACTGGCAAGGTCACATACCTCAGAAAGCAACTTCCCGATTTCCATCAACGCAACCGACTTCCCCAAACACAAGTACTTGCCCGAGCTAAAGTTGATATCACTCGCCATAACCATCTCCTCTCGCTTCTCAACCTCAACATCAAGCCATCGCTCGGGACGAAAGACTTCAGCATCAGCTCCCCAGAGCTCAGGTCCGCGTCCGATACCAACCATGATCTGTCCCACCTCGGTGCCACCTGGTAGGAAATAGCCATGGAGGATATCCCCTCCTTTCGGTACCTCCTTGGTCATGAGGCCAGCGGCGGGAGGCCATAGGCGCATGCCCTCGCGGATGACGGCTTGGAGGTAGGGAAGGGTTTTGGTGTCGGAGTAGTTGATGATGTGATCGGAGGGTTTGTCGGCGTAATAGGTGTCGATTTCGGATTGGAGTTTGGTATAGACGGGGGGATTGGTGAGGAGGGCGAGCATGGTCATGCGGATGGCGACGGTAGTAGTTTCTGTGCCGGCGACGCTGATAGGGTGTCAGGATTAAGGGGTTGGATAGTAGTGGTGGGGGGGGGAGGGCTTTATACACGAGGGTGATGCATTCTTGGACGACATCTTCGGGGTCGAGACCGTTTTTGAGAAAAGCGCGGATGAGGTCGTGTTTTGACTCTCCGGTGTCCGGTTCGAGGCGTTTTTTGACTGCTTCCGTGGTGAATCTGGGGGGAGCGTCAAGTTAGCACTGACTTCTTCGAGTTGGTTTTCAGGGGAAGACCAGAACCCACTTCATCAACCTCCCAAATCCAACTTTATCCCCATCGCCCGGCATCATCTTGTTGATCGGCCAAGCATGCATAACATGCACCAGCCACGGCATAGTCCCCAATATGCCAATAATGGGCAGCATAAACTCGCTCATCTTAATATACTCCTCCACATCCCCATCCTTCTTCAGAAACCCAAACGGCTCCCCAAATACCACATTCGTCACCACATCCAACGTGAAGAACTGCGCCCGGTGACTAAACTCCATCGGTCTCGGGTCCCCCGGTGTTGACAAATACTTCCTCTCCACCAACCGCACAAATTCTCGAACCGTTTTGTTGACTCTCTGCTCCATCAGCGCCAGCCCCGGTCCGACGAACTAATCCCCGTTAGCATCCATCCTCTACACCCCGCCTCCTGAGCCGGATGAAAATGAAAGAACCTCACAGCAGGCCCCAACTTCCCCTTCCTCTCCTTCCGCTCCTCATTTCCCCTCATGCTCAAACTCGACCTCCTCTCCAAACTCCACCGCGAAAACTCAAAGAAGGGTCCCTTACGATACCCCGCCTTGGTCGAACACACGTACGCCAACGTCTTGGCATCGGAAATCATTACTATCGTGGGTGTGATTCGCACCAATGGTCCATATTTCTTGACGAGGCGGTGGCTGTATTCGTTGACGTCGCCGTGGAGGCAGTGGTAGGTTATTACGAGGGGGGTTAGGGCGTCTGGAATCACAGCATCAGGTCAGTCTTTGCAAGGGAGAAGAGAAGACCATTTGAAGGCCGGAAGACTTACTGAGGAGGGGACCGGGGATGTGGCGGAGGCGGAGGTAGGCGCGGAGGACTTGGAGGAGGTAGATGAGGATGAAGGTGACGGAGAGATATGTCAGGATAACGGAGGTGAGGGAGCCGCCATCTCGGCGAAGAGGGTTGATGAGGTTGGCGACACCGACGGTCGCGGTTTCATTCATCCTGGATTCAATTACCCATGAGGGGAGAGGAGACCAAGCCAGGAGCGAGATCGGGGCAATCCTGAGAGTTTGTTTGCCTTTTTACACTCAAGAGAAGATTTACTGCCAAAATTGTTATGTAACTCGGTGCGGGGCTTAATCTAGTCCCCGCCGCTGATTTTCTAATTTTGAGTGATGTGTAATATGCAATTGCCGCTGACGAGTAGCTGCCAGGCGGGTGAGTACGCCCCTGATTCGTAGAGCCGACAGGGGGTGCATATGCATAGGGCTGCGACAACCTTAACATGGTTAAGCTTCAACCCGAAAATGTCCAGCTCCTAGAATTTCTTACTTCAAAGGTGTTGCAATCTTTGCCGATTTGGGGTCTGTCTGCATTCTCACATGCCGCTAATGAGTGATCCAGCCCGCCATTTCATCCTTGGATAGGTCCAATTGGGTGCTAGAATCTGAGGTGGTCGTCAGCACTAGGCTTGTAGTCACCCCTGCATGTGTCACCACTAGCACAACATATATCGGACCTCCCACCGTCACAAAAAACTGCAATATTGCCAACAAAGAAGCAAGCCTAACAGCACGCGAGGAGCGAGAACGGAGAACCGGGACCTAGTGGCTCGTGTGCAGCACCGGATGGACACCCTTTCAATCCTTAGCGCATGTGGCACAGATACGCGCCGCGCGCTCTGACTGTAGTTACTGTCCTCAGCTTTGTCGTCCATATTGTCGGTTAAACGGCACCCTTGCCGAAGCGTTCGCCACTCGGTGAACAAGCCAACAAAAAAAAAGCGATACAAAACCTGTGACAAACCCGCAACTGAATTGTTGGTTGTGAAGCGTGATGATCGACAAATCCCCCCTTTCAGTCTGCGGGGCTGCGGGGGGGGGGGGGATCGGGATCATTTAAGTGGTGCGATTGCAACCATTTTTCCCAACAGCAACTCCAAAGCCCGGCTGGCGCAATTGGTAGCGCGTAAGACTTCTACAACACATCTTCTCAATGAAGTGATGGAAACATCTTAAGGTCGTGGGTTCGAGCCCCACGTCGGGTGGTAGCTGGTTTTTTGCCTCTTGTGGTGCCTGATGCCAAATGTTGACTTTGACTTTTTGCATCCGTGATGTTGTGGAAGGTGCAGGGCCTGGTGTGAGAGACGTAGAGAATGCGAGCTGCGACTTTCTGACTTTGTTCGTCCCATGATCAAGCGTTTACGCCGCGCCGTAGTTTGCGTCTGGTCTTGGATGGGAGTCGTCATCCGTCCCTGGCTTCCGAATCTATGTCAGCTCACTTTCTGATCCTGTTGGAATATACGAAGGCTAGTGAAAGAGAAGGTGCAGGGCCTGCTGTGAGAGACGGCGCGGCATGGCTCCAATGCTTGCAGCTGTGTGATGTGCCCAAGTTGAGCAAGGTCGGAATTTCCTTCTAGGCAAGCAGCCAACATCTCGGACTGGATTTCTTGACACTCCGGCAGACTCAGACCGTATGGTGGTGAGTGTGGTGTGTAATGGTTTGGTCGGAATGCGGGGACAGTGCCTCAGAGAAGGCACTCTTCAACGAGAAGGCGTGGTTACCAAGGTCTCACCCCGAATCCGCCTTGGCAACTGAAGCCTCAGTTCGTGTCAAAAATAGATTCCTGCCAAGCTGCGGCGCGCGCTCGACAATCGGCACCCTCTACGGCGGTGGACACCGGTTTCTCGGAAACGAGACGGGCGAACTATTGCTCGGTGCGGCAGACCGCCCTCCAGGCTGGTGTGGTGGATGGTAAAAGGACCTCGAACACACGGGTGCTGCCAGGCATTTTCGAGTTTCCCGTTGGTATCCTTCCCGATAGCGGGAAAGGGCGACCTGGAAAGGCGGGACAGCAGCGGGAAGGGCGGAAGGGCGGACATCGGGTGGCTTGGTGAGAGAGGGTCAAAGCGCATGAGCTTCTTCGTCCAGGGAGCGGAATCTGGGACTTGCAAAGAACCAGTCCCACGTCCCTGAACATCGAGAGGTGCGCGATGGCAAGGGGTGCAAAGTTGAGGTGCATTCGTCATCCCGCTCTGCGTTTCAGGTTTCCATGTGGTCTGGTGAGGGCAGCAAAGGCACTGGAGCGCGAGGGTTGGAATCACACCTTGAAGGCGTGCCACCTGAATGTGGGAGTGTGGCGTAAAACGTGGGAACCGAATGCTACTGGACCAGGTTTGTCGTCGTGAGAGAGGTCTGACGGTGAACAGGCCAATCAGGGCCTGATACGGTACCAGAACCAACACCGATGACAGCTAGGAAACAGCGCCAGGTCGTCTGACACAGACGCCATTCCCAACTTGAACACACCCGTCGTGTCAGCGTGGGATGTTGCGAAAGTCAACCAGATTCGCGATTGCATGGATGCGAATGGCTGCGGGCGGCGTTTGTCGCGGGTGCGCACGCCAGGGCATGTCAGGAGAGGGGGCGCCGCTGTTAGGCGCTGATAGATGCTTGTGGCGATCTTGGTGGCGGGCGTAACGAATGCATTCTCTGCCGCGAGAGGGCGAGAGCGCGCAAAGGACTGTGCGAATGCATCGAAAAATGTCGGTGCGGTTGCGATAGCAGCCCAGCCACAACCCCTTGATAATTGTCGACAAGCCACGCGGCAAGATCCTTCTGCGTGAAGATATGGGGGAGGAGGCTGTGCGTCTGAGCACTCGGATTGTGGTTGGCTGCAACATTCCGAAGCAATGCAAATCACTGCTGACCTTACCTACGCAGCACCCCGTAGGTAATGGAAAAGCAGAAATCTGCCCTGCGTGGGGAGTCGCACCAGAAACAGGTTGCGCGCAGGGTTGGTTCATGCGTTGTGGTCAAATATCACCACATCGCCGAATGGGGTTACGGTCGGCAATCCGACCAGCCCTGCGCGGGATATTTCGCAGCTCTTCAGGGCGTGTGCACAAGGCAGAAGATGGCGAAAGCGGAGGAAAGAGCGCTGGAGCGGAAAGTGGGAGGTGCAGCTGCAGCTGGGAGGGCATCCCCTCATCCGCCTGTCGGGTGTGTTTGCTTGGTTTTCTTCATGCAAATTCTGGCCGTTGGTCGCCAAACATCAATCCGTGTATCTGCAACATCGGCAATGAACGCCGGCCTCGCCAGCAGAGGTTGTCGACGGCGTCGCTGGTGGAGATTGTCGTCGCACTCCTCGATCCTGAAGACTTGGCGGGCTGCGGCAGCCACCGGGGACACTCTCGGGGGTTCTGAACAGGGGGGCGCGGGGTCCCTGGCCAGTCACTGAACGTCCCACAGTCCCAGGCGGCTGGAAAGACCCAACGGTGCGCCTAGTCCGCCTAGCCGATCTGCAGGCCCCTTGGCCACTTTGCCTTCCCCGGGGAAGGGATGCCGGTTCACGCGCCAATCAGCGCTCGATCAGCAGAGTAATGGCAGGGAACCTTCCATCAACGCAGCCACAGCTCTTGGGGTTGATAACGAACGCATGCCCCATGGGCCGTCGTCGAGGAGCTGCTCCTGTTGCGACTCGGTCTGTTCACCTCGACGACGACGACAACAACGACGACGTCGACAGCAACGAAATTGCCACCGATTCAGCGGAAGATGCGGACGCCCACCCACACTTCACCAATATGATCTCTCCACGAGGTTACGTCGACCTCTACCAAGACTCGGCCGGTCTGAGGCGGAGCATCCTCATCAGCGCCATCCTCACTCCGGCACTAGCCGCCATTTTCGTTGGGTTGCGGCTCTACTCTGCCCGAGTGCTCCTGCGTCGAATCGAGAAAGACGATTGTAGGCCCACCACTCTTCCGCTCCTAGCTGCAACTTGCTAACCGGTCCAGGGCTGATCGTCACCGCGTTACTTTGCTCCATTTGCTTTTCAGTATCAGAACATTTTCGTAAGGCCTTGACATCGAACTCTGCTACGCACTCGCGCATCTAGCTGACCATCCCCAGACCTAAAGTATGGGCTCGGGTTTCACTTTTGGGAGCTCGCAGACAGGAGCATCGTCTATAAGGGGTACTTCATCGTAAGTGGCATCGCTCTTGCCATGAGTCATCTCTGACAATATCGCCATGCAGGTCAGCTACTTCCCTGTCGCGATAACGAACAACTTTGCAATCCTCTTTACAAAGGCCTCGATCTTGTCCTTCTATCTCCGCTTTTCCATCAGCAAGCGCTTCAACATTGCAGTCTACTTTGTCCTCTCCATTGTAGTTGCATACACCCTCATGGGCGCCTTCTCATTCCTCTACGCCTGCCAACCGATGATACGGACATGGATTCCTTCGACTCCAGGCACTTGCATCAACGTCAACGCTTGGTATGGGACGCTGGTTGGCTTGAATGTCTTCACCGACCTGATCCTTCTTCTCCTTCCATTTTGGTTGCTCGCGCCCCTGCGAGTCGGCTACGTGCAAAAGGCAGCTATTGCCGCCATACTTGGGGCAGGAAGCTTGTATGTACCCTCGTGGGAGATGTCTCGGTCTTGGTGCTAACTCTATACAGTGTGCTCGGGGTCAGCATCTTCCGTCTCTACATCACACTCGACTACCGCGGGGATAGAGATTTTCTCCACCGACTGGCAGTTAACTACCTCTGGCTGTAAGCTTGGTCCCCCTTTCGCTTCGGGAGCAAAAGTTCTAACCTGGCTCCAGCATCATCGAAGTCAACTTTGCCATCATCTGTGCCTGTTTGCCGTGCCTGAGAACCCTGGCAGGTCGATACATGCCGGCCCTCATGGTCACCCCTCGGCCAACGCCACCCCGACTCCGGACGATACCGGTGACTCAGCGCATCCATGATACGAGGATGACCGGTGTGACAGTCGAGCACTTTGAGATAGTTGTCCAAAAGCCGGACACTCCAGGGACGATGTGGATAGAATCGAGGGCGAGCAGTGTGTTCTTTGCTCCGGAACCACAATACTGCGATGTGGGGTCCGAGCGAGCGGATTCTCCATCAGTGTACTCGACAATGTCAGGTCCGACGACTCCAACACATTCAACCACTCCGACTTCACCAATAAAACCCAACCCAACGTATGCCAGAGAAGGGTTCATATGAGTGTTGGGTTTCATTGCCACGGCGTCAGGGATTAGGGACGAATTCGTTTTGGTTAGGATGATACCATGGGATAGCGACAGGATTTGGCGTTTTGGATTGGCTACGGGTTCGGGAAGGATTCATGTCGGGAAAACACTGTAGGAATATCTCAGGCCTTGGACATCAGGGCACAGCGTTTAATTTTTATTGAGCTGCATCCTCAAATGGCAGCAAGACTTCACCACCAAACATCATCCCCTCACTCCTCATCATAAAACACCAAACACCTCACCTCAATACTCTCCCTCCCCTTCGTCCCCTCCGGCGTCTGCGGATCCACAAACGCCGTATGGGGCGTCAGCGCCGCAACCCCCTTCCTCCCCCCCGGCAACCCCTCCGCCCGACTATCAAAACACTTGATAAACAGCGCCTCCTCGGGCGTCATATCCTTCACATAATAAAACCGATGCCCCTCACTCGGCACAACCCCATACGTCTCCCCCTTCACCTCATACCCCTCCGTCGACCTCAACGTCTCCGGATCCGGCAGCACCTCCTTTCCCCTATCATCCCCATCATCCTCCCCTTCCTTCCTAACCGGATACAGCAACTCCACCGCTATCAGATTCTCCGGCCTTGTCGAACGCCAGTCAATCAGCGCCAATGGGAAATCCGACGCCACGTGACCAATCGGTCGCCAGACGTTAACAATCTGGTAACGACCCCTCAACAGCCCCTCCGCCTCCGCAGTGTCGGTTACATGCCTTCGTACCCGCGCCTCTGCAGCCTTGGGCGTCTGGTCAACGTGCACACTCTGCACAGGCTGCCTCGGCGCCCCCGGATCCCTTTTCCTAATTGTATGATCAAAGATAACCACCTTTTTCACTCTCGGTAATTTCTCTCGAAGAAGGGATTCGACGGATTGGTAATACGCTCCGCGGACAGACGCGTCAGACTCGAAATCAACGGGAGTGGTGAGAGGGGAGTGGAAGAGGGAGAAGCCGGTGATGTCGGTTGAGTAGGAATCGGTAGGGAGGGTGCGGATGGATGTCACCGGGAGGGGACCGATGGAGGTTTGGGAGTAGGAGGTGGAGTTTACGTCGACTTTTGCCCAGGGGCGGGAGGTACCGGAGGGGGTGGACGTGGGTGTGAGGGTGGCGGGGTCGAGGTAGTTGAAGTAGCCGGTTGTGGTGGTGGTGGTCGTCGTCATTTTGGCGGTTTTTGATTAGGTTTGAAGGGAGTTTTGGGCTGAGGGTTGAAATGGTGTCACGAGGGGCTTGCGGAGGTTGATGGCGGGGCTTCCCGTGATGCAGGGAGCCGAGAGGGATCGGGGTTTTATAGCGGGAGGGGAATTACTAATCTGGGATTACCAATCGAATGGGCCGATCGCTTGGCTGGGTCTTGGTGCTGTGGAATTCCAGTAAAAAAGTCTCGCTTGTCGAACCAAAGGCGTGCAGTGTATGAGGCAACGCGTGCAGGGCGTTGAAGTTTGGGGAAAAGAGATTGGCTTGACATTGCGGCTTGTGAATGGGCTTTGTTGCGCAAGCTGCTGTGCTTCGTTCACAGTTTTGTTATCAGGAGTCAACAACGCATTCTTACTGGGTGCCCTAGACAAGAGCCCCTCTCAAGCCTTCCGTGGGGGGCTAAAATTGCAGTGTTATGGCGTCGCCGCCGCCTCAAAGCTTAGCATCAGACACTCTCTTGGCACAATGGAGACAATGCGGGCAACCTGAACCCAACTCACAGTAACCGGTAAAAATGTAGCCAGGCACCTTGATGGAAGCCTGAACATGTGACAATGATCGAACCCAGGCTCGAACCGGGGATCTGATGCGTGTGAACCATACGTGATAACCAGCTACACCATCCAACCTTTGTTGTTGAAAGTGTGATGCAGAAAAGAAGCTTGTCGCTTCGGATGCGTTATGCCCAGTTTCATTCACAAACGTAATCAGCCCCTGCAGTCTTGCAAGTCCTTGATGGACGAATGCATTGGTTTCTTTCATCCTTCCATGTTCAAACGAAGGGTACGGTATGCAAAAACAAACACCCTCCCCGGTAACCCTAGCCCCTGCAAATGTGTCTCCAATCTATCCAAAATCTTTCTCTCAGCTATCAAAAATCGGACCCAGCGCCGGAATACCCCTCGACTCTAAATCAAACACCAAACTTTTCGTCATCTTGACATTGCTGATGACCGCCACAGCCTCGGCCCCAAAATCCTTGTACAGCTTCAAAATAATCGGCAACATATCCACCCTCCCTGTAATACTTGAATCCATGATTACAGGATCAGGATCCATCCTCCTCACCAGATCCAACGTCCTCGCGCCGTACGTCTTCAACGGCGCCTTGGTCTGCCAGACGACCCTCATCTCAGGGCGATTCTCATCGTCGATGAACGACAGACACGGCCCGATGCCCGAGCCGGTGGTGACGATGATGATCTTTGGGAACATGCGCAGGACATACCCAAATCCGTAAACCGGCATGCCGCGCACCCAAAGATGAGTCGGCTGGTTGTTGATTGCATCCCGCGTCCAGTCCCCCGCTTTGGAGACGAGACATGAGAATTTGGTTTCCGGTGTGTCGAATCTGTCGGTGAAGCTAGCAAAAGAATGCCAGTCACGAAGGGGATGCTTGGCAATGGAAAGCCCCTGGCCAAAGTGCACATTGGTATGGTTGAAATGCAAACGGACAGCATGCGGTGAGAGAGGCTCCGGCACGACCAGCACGCGACGGAGGAGAAGCCAGGGGTGGAGCGTCGCGGCGGTGAGGACGATGAGAATCCAAAATGCGGGCAGATTGACGAGGAAGGACGACATGGATGGCTCTTGGGAGGCGAGGAGGAAAACGAGGACCCAGAAGAGGACGAGAATGATCCAGTTGGAGAAGCGGTGGGTGAATTCGAACCAGTCGTGGCGTTTGAAGCGGAAAGCGGGGTAGGCAGCGATGATGATGGCGAGCAGGAAGGCGAGGACGGCCCAGATGAGGACGAGAGCGGCCGTGGCGCGTGGAGAGGGGACGAAGTGGTATGTGTGGAGCCCCGCGAAGCCGATGTACCAGAAGCCGGCGGCGACGCCGGTGCCGCTGTGGACGCCGCCGATGTGGAAAAGCTTGCAGGCGAGACGACGGAGCCTTAACGGCGCGCTGCGTGGGACGGCGCAGATGGTGAGGAACAGGGCATTGATAACGAGCGGTTGGCGGCAGAGGCCGCAGATTGCGAGATTGAGGGCGGCAGCGTTGACGAGGTCCAGCGGTGAGGCGCCTTTGACCATGAGGACGACAAACGCGATGGCATTTCCGACGAAAGCGATGCTGAAAAGGCGGCGATAGACGTTGAGGATCGCGTAGCGGAAGAAGCCGAGCCGCTTTTGCGTGAGCTGGTCGATGGAGTACTCCTGTGCGTCGCTGCTGCCTGCGTGCGGGAGGCCATGTTGGGCTTCAAGATCGGTGAGCGTTGACGAGTACGTGTGTCGTTTCTCGTCCAAAATGGCTGAGCTCGAGATCGAAGGTGTTGCGGAATGGGTTGGGACTGGCTCGGGCCTCACTTTCACCAGGGCCTTCTCAGGTTGCGTCGTTGCAGCTTCCACGCTCGCTCTCCTCGCCGCGTCGGCGTTGTTGTTTTGGGCTGAAGGATCCATCGTGAAAATGTTACTGATTGGCACTACACTAGCGTCACTGGTCGCACCAAAATCTAGCAGACGCCCACGCTCAGAGGCGGCGCCACGGTACTTAAGAAATGCATTGAATGCGCCTGTGCCCAAATCTGGGTACAAGGCTTCCGGTGCATCAACAAAACCGGACTTCGGACGATGGCCGCATCGTCCGGCCTCAAAATCTCGGCGCTGGCTTCGGCTGCTGTTGAGCACTGTTAGCGCGTCGGAGTTTCTCCCGCAAGCGCAGCGGGCCGCCAGAGGTGGTGGAGAGTTAGTCCGTGCCAATCAGCGAAGCGCTTTTGTCGGCCTCAACCCAACCACATCCCGTCTCTGCATTGAGCTGCTGCAACCTGCACATCAACAACCCTCCCATACTTTGGTTCGATCCTTTTAGCGCGATGATTCTCCGGGAACCGAAGTCATGATCTCTTGGCAGAGGTGAAATGTGCAGCGGACAATCGCGCTCGTCCAGTGCAGAGGCGAGACGAAGGTGTCAAAGATGCCAGGTCCACTCACATCTAAGATCTAACTGGTAGGTCATGGCGGTGACAGCATCGCCCGAGCGGCGCATGTTTTACTTCTCCAGTTTTTTATCGGCGCGATGCGCAACCGATCGCCGGCGATGGAGGCTTGGCACGGATCGGAGCGAGCTCGTTTGGGACTTGACACTCCATCTCGACGCGTAGACCCTGGCGGGCCGCTTTCACAAATCGCTTCGTCGCCCCGTCGGACGTAATTTTACGGCCTTTCTAACTGATTTCGGTACCTCTTTTAAGTCAAAAAGAGGCCTTAGGTGTAGTTATAACAGGGCTGCGGTAGCCGTGGTGGTGCGGTGCAGAGTTACCGGTTTTGTGTGGGATACGGTGCGAATACACATTATCGATGTACAAGCCGAAGCTAAACCTACCCAAAAGCAATCCAAGCGGAACATCAAGCAAGATATCACGGGCTATCCTCCACCTTGTTTCTCACTCTCCTCCTCACCCCCACCCCGCCCTCCCTCGCAGCATGGATCCTCACCCTACCAAATCTCTCCACCACCTCCTTACTCCCTGCCCCTCTGGGACTCTCGATGTCTTCCCTCTGCACATCGCTCTCCGCTCCAAATAGGAAATCCACGGCCGGAAATGCCGTTACCACGAAATCGCCAACCGGACCATTCCAAGGCAAAAACAACCACATCAGTGCTCCCCAGAGCAGAACCAACACGAACGTCAGCAGGACCGTGAACGCGAGCAACAACGCCGGGTCAAACTTTAACTTCATCAGTGGTCTCACCACCGCTGCGGTCGCGTAGAACTCCGGCGGCAGATTCTCGTTGAGGATTTCCCCTTGTACTTGGATGTTTCCGTAGTTGTTCGCGTTGAACAGCCAGACCGGGAAGGCGAGAAGGCTGCGGAAGGTTTGGAGGCCGATGCCATCCGTGTGCGGGTTGTGGAGACTGTTCTGGTTGCTCCAAAAGATTTCGAGGATGGACGAGGGCGCGGGGATGCCGGATTTGGGGTAGTCGATGAGCCAGGCGAGGGCGGAGCGGTAGGCGGCGAGGTCGGAGGCTGTGAAAGGCAGGAAGGCTGGCGGAGATAAGTTGGATAGAGAGAGGATGGTGAGGTTGGAACGGGAGGAGAGGAGGGTGGCGGTTCGCCGGTGAAGGGTCATGGTGGTTGTGAGATTGGGCTGGGGGGAGGCGGTGATGCATTTACCAGACGAGATGCCGTTGCAGAGGAAGAGGCCCGCATGGAGTGATTCCTCGTTGGTGATGGCCAAGCACAGCTCAGCTGCGATGCGCGTTTGGTTTGAGCCGAAAAGAGCGCACTCATCGCTGTGGAACAATTTTGGACCGGACCGGCCGTTGAATTCGACTTGAACGGTGGGCACTTCGGGGATGCTCACCAGCTGGTGGTCTGGATGCCCCGGTGGAGTCCATGGCGCCACCATGCTGAGGCCCCCGGAGAGGATGTAAGATGCACAGTCGAGATCTTGTTCTGAGCGGCGGCACTGCAGCGGATCCGCAACGGAGGAGAAGAGGTTGTTGGTGACGAGGTTATGAACCACGGAGTAATAGGTGTAAGGAACGACTGCTGACCCATCGCTCTGCCAAATTTCGAGGAATGGGTTGACGTAGGATGCATTGAAGGGTCCGATGCCAGCAGTCACTTCGTAGACAGCAGCCGTGTCGAACACTGCGATGAGGGATGTCCGTGCTGCTCATTGTTAGCCTGATGAGGCTGCAAAGATGCCCAAATTGTGTGCTCCCACCAAAGAGCAAGATTCCTCCGATCCAAGGGAGCGCTGTCATAACGAGTCGGCAAAGCGCCCAGGAGCGAGCAGTGTGTCCTGAGTAAGGGCTGAAAACGATACGCAGGGTGCCAGCGAGGAGTGTCGTTGGGGACAATCCGAGGAGGTCCACCAGCTTGAGGCCTTCATCTTTAGCCATCAGACGCCAATGCAGCTGCGTGAACGAAGAGCAAACGGCGGCCGTGGCAGTGGCTGTCAATAGGCCTTGGAGGACGCGGACGACCAGAATGGTGGTCCCGACATGTGCGCTCACCCACCAACTCAGCGCTTGCTGCCGATCCGACGAAGCCTCTGCCCAAGTTGTCGTGTGGCTGAAGAGAACGATTGCGACGAAGAGCAGAGAGGAGACAATGACGAGAGCAGCTTGGGGGGCGAGGTCTTCTGAGACCATTCGATGCCTCTCCGGTTTCATCATGATGCCTGCTTGCAACACCAACCCAGCAACGGAGGGCATCAATGCAGGTGAAGCAAAGAGGTGCCAGCCAAAGGCGGGGTGGTAACAATTGCGGAGTTGTTCCGCAACTTTGGTTCGGCTCTGCGCCGTTGCCCGGCGGCAATGGGAAAGAGCGGCCTGGGGGAGAAGAGGGGTGGGGGGTCGATTACCCGGAGATCTCTTATCAGGGTGTAAGAACCTGCCAAGGTAGGCAGCCTCGGTCTCCAATGCCCGCTCGCCTACCCAGACGGGAGGATGCGCCCAGGCAGCGCAGGCCCGCATGCCACCGAGAGCACATTCAGCCCTGAAGGACTTCCGCTGCCTTTTGTTAGATTGCGCGAATGAATCGGGAGGAGTACCTAAAATAGGAGGAGAGGACGTTCGAAACGGCATTCACGTTCGCAGCGTCCTGGGGTGCCCCCAGGCTGGGGTTTTGCCGCTCAGAATAAATACCCAGAGCAGGCGCCACCCACTCGGATCATCTGC